CACCTGATGTGAAGAACTGACTCATTGGAAAAGACCCTGATGCTGGGAAAGATTGAAGGCAGGAGAAGAGGATGACAGAAAATGAGATGGTTGAATGGCATCACCGATGTGATGGGTGTGAGTTTAAGCAAGCTCTGGGAGTTGGTGATAGACAGGGAAGCCTGGCATGCTTTAATCCATGGGGTAGCAAATAGTTGGACATGACTGAGCTAATGAACTGAACTGAACTGTTATCTATAAATACAGTCACATTTGAATTTTGGGGGAATCCAATTCATCCCATAACATAACCTTTCTGTCAAACTCACAGTTTTAACTTCCTATAGTAGTAGTTCTGAAAAATATGATTCATGGGACATAATGTCTTCCAAATATATGCAGTTATTTTGGTTAAGTTCAGAATTAGCCCTTGGATCTCTAGATATCACTGAGAAGACAAAATGATTCAGGTATATATGATAGAATGAGTTCAAGAAATATTAATACAAGATGTTTGGATTAATGTGTGTGTGTTAGTCACTCAGTCATGTCTGACTCTATGCAACTCCATGGACTGTAGCCCATTAGGCTCCTCTGTTCATGGAATTCTCTAGACAGTAATACTGGAGTGGCCTCTCCAGGGGATCTTCCTTACCCAAGTATTGAAACCAGGTCTCCTGCATTGCAGGCAGTTTCTTTACCATCTGAGCCACCTAGTTATTATAAAAGTTTGTCACTATTTTGAGCTATGCTTATGTATCTCTCACTTTGGGAAAAAGTGTCACTTTAGTCCACTGACTTAATTCTGTTTAAAGAGAGTATGAATAACATATTAATTTTGAGTTATGGTATGTTATTAATATTATACAACCCAGGGGTACAACAGTCAGATAAATGTGATGCATTCAGCAATGAAAGAAATTTCAGTTCACCTCCTGAGTAGGCTCCAGTATCTTTGTATTACTATTCCCCATAAAAAGTCATTTTAAAATTACTTAGAATGTACAAATAATGACTTAACATAATTAGGTAATTGACTATTTAATTTGTCCTGGTCTCATAGTAATTATTTTTTCTTAATAAATGATTTAAGTTAAGCAAGATAAAATATTACTCATTCACTCATTTTCAAAATGTCCCCTGGATAGAAAAAAAATACAACATATCTTTGAAAATATATTTTTCTTGCTGCCATTTTTGAATTCTTAGAAAATCAAAATGCTGCTAAACATCTAATTAAGAAATATTTGCTATATTTAGAGAGGTTAAATTTTAATTTTTCATAATCTAAGTAAATACGTTAAAAAAAATCTCCATTTATCTGTGGTTCTCTTCTTCTCTGCATGGTTCCACTAATATTCTCACCCTTAGAAAGAGAAATATTTTTTATAGAATTTGTGAAATCAGTTATTTTCTTTTCCTTCTATATTTATGTATTCTGAAATAATCAGTATTTTCTGCTAATTTTGACATTTTCAACATAATAAAATTCACACTTTTGTTAGGGTTTTTTTAAAGTATATATCTCATTTTAATATTTTCTTTTACTAGACTTTATTTCTAGTATATTCAAATACATTCTAGTTTTTTATTTGGGGAAAACATCTATTTATATAATGCATATACATATGCATATATACATATATGTGCACATATATAAATATATGTATATATATGGGCTTCTGAGGTGGCACAGGTGGTAAAGAACTGCCTGTTCTTCTGCCAATGCAGAAGTAGGAGATGTGGGTTTGATCCCTGGGTCAGGAAGATCCCCTGGAGGAGGAGGGCATGGCTTCCCACTCCAGTATTCATGCCTGAAGAATCCCATGGACAGAGGATCCTGTCCATAGGGTCGCAAAGAGTCACACACGACCATTGCACAAGACTAAAGTGACTTCGCATGTATGTATGCATACATTCGTATACATTGCAGTGTCACTTCTCATGAGGTTATTATTTTTTTAAGAAACTCAGCATGGGATTGAAGATTTGAAATTGAGGTAAGAAGCAGTCTAAAGTGGAGGTTGTTCCAGTAAAGCCTTAGATACAGAGAATAATAAAAATTAAATAAGACCTTTAGAATTACACTCCTGAGTTTTCTTGGAGAAAAAAGTTGAGAAATAGTTAAAGAGGATTGGACAGATAGGAAATACATGCCATAAAATCAGGTCTATAATGAACATTTGGGTAGTTGATACAATCAAAAAGTAAAAAATGCCCTGGTAAAAAGCTGTTAGTGTGGTGTTTAATATTAACCCCTCCTGTCCCATTTTCATGGCTTTTCCCCCCACCCCCGATTTGATTATATTCATTAGTGCAAAGTTTCCAACTAAACAACTACTTTCCCAGACTCCTTTTTGCTACAATTGTGTATGTAACCTACTTCTAGTCAGTAAGGAATATGAAAAAGTTGCATGCAGAATTCTTTCCTTCATTGTTAATTAAAAAAAAAAAAAAAGAGTAGATGACAACTGGTTTCCATACCTGCCTGCCTTCTTTCTGCCTTAAAAAGAGACACAATGCTTGAAACTAGAGCAAAGGTTTGCAACTGAGAGGTATAAATCATCAGAAAGTTATCCCACTAAGGCTGGTAGATTGACCACGTGGAAGAATAAAATACTTGGGTTCCTGGTAGCACTTTTGAAGCTGAATAAAAATCAGCAGCTCTCTTACTTTAAAGGATTTTTGGCCATGTGAAAACAAATACCTGTTTGTTTAAGCTACTGTCAGTCAGTAAGGTTCTTCTGCTTCATATAACAGAATGTGTTCCTCATTGTGCATGTTATCAAGAATGAAGCAAAAAAAAGAGCATGGTATGTTTCTCTTACGTAAGTAGGATGTTGCAACCTAAGCACTGGTCAACGCACCTGTGATTAGCTTGGCCTTTCCCCCAAGACTGCAAGGCGTCTCCTCAGCTCCGGCCACTGTGCAGTCACAGCTGCCGGAGAAGTGAACGCAGGGAAGGATGCCAGGGTGCCTTACCTTTTTCTAAGAAAAGTGAAAGATTTTCCTGATGGCTCCTTCTCTCACTGGTTCTCACTGGGCAAAACCATGCCTCCAATTCACCTTCTCTATGGGGAAAGTGAGAAATCAGGGTGTTGTTACTATGATTGGCTTGCATTTTGCCACATTAAACTGAATCAAGATTCTATTTCCAAGCACGAAGGAGAGATGGCTATTGTTAAGAAAAATGTCTGCCAAAAATATTTAGCAAAGCAAAGGAAATCTTAACTTACTTCTGTGTGCTTTCTTTGTACATTTGACAAATAAGAAATAAACAGCTGTCAATTCTACTCTAATGTACTAAAACAAACGTCGTAAACAAAATGGATCAGAGGAAAGAAAGGGGAGGCACAGTAATATTTAAGCACGTCAATAAGGTATTTTTAAAATGGAGAAGAAATTATAAATACACTGAATTGCATACAGGTTCATTTAACTGTTCTTTTCAAAAGAATAGTTATTGAAATTTGTTTTCAAATGGACAATCGAAGGACAGAGTACAAGAGTTCAAATATTTACTATTTAATATTTTTATTACTTCATATTATATATTAATAATTGCTAATTTGCTAGTAAAAAGTCACTATGTAAGTAATTGATGATATATCAAGCATATTGATTAAGAAAAAATATTAAGTAACATAAATAATATTTTCTAAATTGTTAGGACTCTGAGCTCTAATATCATCAATTTTATTCAGTAAAATAATAGCACAGAAAATACAAATAAATGACAGCTTTAACTGACTATACTCCAGGGAGCAGAAATGTTGGATTATTTCAAAAAACATAATTATTTGGAGGGGGAAGAATATTCTGACTCAACATTAGACACATAGTATAATACAAATGCAATTTTGGAATAACATATTTATTATTTCTGAATATTCAGGAACCAGAAGATAAAAAATTTATTAAAATGAAACAATATTTCTTATTAAAATTTAGGTATGTTAGAGCCAAAAATACTATGAAAGATATTATAGTTTAATGAGGTTATCTTCTATACCAAAGTTCTAGAATTTAGGTTTTGTATTTGGCATTCCCTGTGAATTGCTGGACTCTGTTTTATCAAATAGGTTTCTGGGTTTTTTTAACCTTACAATTCCTAGTAGATATTAAGTGAGCATAAGACACTGGGAAGAGCCAAAGGGATCGGGTCGAGAGGGAGGTGGGAGGGGGGATCGGGATGGGGAATACATGTAAATCTATGGCTAATTCATGTCAATGTATGACAAAAACCACTACAATATTGTAAAGTAATTAGCCTCCAACTAATAAAAATAAATGAAAAAAAAATTCTCTTAAGACCCATATAGTTTTACTAATTTATTTCATTTAAACATTTTAAATAATGGTTTCATATGATCTGCATCCCCCATTTTCATGACTTTAAATTTTATTCAGCTTTATTTTGTCTCAATGCCAAAGAATGTTCAAACTATGGCACAATCTCACTCATCTCACATGCTAGTAAAGTAATAATTCTCCAAGCTAGGCTTCAGCAATATGTGAACCATGAACTTCCAGAT